TCTCCTCTGTCGAACCCCTCCTTATCCTGTTCATCTCCATTCACCTTGCCCGTGCCCAGGCCCCGTGCTCGTCGCGTCCGCGCCGGTTGCTGCACGCTGCGCGCGAGCTCGCGCGCCCCGTGTCACGGTCCCCGCACCTTGCCTCCCTCCCGCGGGCGTGCTGCTGCTTCTGCGTCACGCACGGCTCAGCCATCCCACGGCGTCCGCGTGCCCGGCCGGGCCCCTGGACCGCGACCCTCCTCCTGCCCGCACGCCTGACCGCCCCGTCTCCGCCCAACCGCTTCTCCTGGGCGAGCCCATGGCCGCCCACGCTACCCGCGCCTCCTGTCGCCCGAGCGCGCGCCCGGCTCCCCTCGTCCCTGCCCACGGCCGCCTTGGCCGAAGCACGCCGCTGCTCGGCCAACTGCTTTCGCTCGCCACCTGCTCCCTGCACCGCGTCCACCCCCCGCACCGTCCTCCGGCCACCGCCCCTCCCCCCACGCACGACCCTCAGGCCGCCGGCCGCACGGGCCCCCGGTCGCCTCCCACACGGGCCTTTGGCCGTCGGCCTCCACGCCCCCACGCTGACGTGGCGGGGCGAGCCCCCCACAGTGCCGCTGACAGCAGGCCCCACAGTCCTAGTTGACAGGTCAACTGTCCCAGTTGACCTGCTGACTAGGCAGTTCGCCCAGGCCAACAGGGGCCCACCGGCCAGCCTCTGGTGCACCTGTGTGTGCACTACACTAGGTGCACCTAGTATTTAGTTGCTTTTTTGTAAATATATATATTAAAAATAAAATGAAATAAATCCAGAAAATTAGAAAATCTTTTAAACTTTGAAAAATCATAGTAAACAAAACGTAACTCGGATGAAAATACTTTGTACATGAAAGTTTCTGAGAAAAACGTGACGAATCCGAATACACGGTCCGTTCATCTATCACATGCCCCTAGCATGCTGAATATGGATTCGTACCCTCTCTTCCATCTGTCCGGATTAAGCCAAACGTCAGGAAAACCCGTCCGGATGTTTTCCCGTTCCGTCTGTAACGCGTAGCCCTGGATTAGGCCACCCCTAGCACCGCGTATTGCCATGTTATGCTTTATGTTGCTTTGATTGCTCTGTTATTTATTGTGTTTCCCCTTCGATACTTCTTTTTGGTAGACCCTGAGACCGCGGTTGAACCAGTGATCGACTACTTCGCCGTCGAGGATCCGTATCTGTCTGCAAAGCTTCCAGGTAAGCACCCCCTTTGATCATTCCGATATCGCCCATTCTATTCTCTTATGCTTGCATTAGATTCTGCTACTGTTATTGTTTGCTCCTATTCTGATGCATAGCCTGCTTTTGCTACCTGCTTTCATATCTTACTTGCTTACTCTAAACTGCTTAGTATAGGCTGGTTAGAGATCCATCAGTGACCCCCACCTTGTCCCAGTTGCCCCTGCTTTATGTTCGATGACTCGATCAACGCTATTGACGTCCAGGCCCCGACATCGCACATCACCCCCCTTAGTTGTACGACTCTGTAGAGTTACCATCGAGTGCCGAGAGTGATACCTCATCAGCACTTCTGATGTTAACCCTGTAGTGTAGCTATTCAGTCGTGGTCATCGAGGGTGATTCCTCCTTGATCACTCCCGATAATGACTATGTCGTGCAACTCCTCAAGTGTGGACCAACGAGGGTGATTCCTCCAAGTCCACCTTGATGGTTACATCGAGTGGGAATCCATCGAGGTTGATTCCTCAGGTTTCCCCCTTACTGTTAGACACACGGTTACTATGGTTACTATGACTTTACACTAAACCATATTACCAAAGACGGGTCGACCCCGAGGGGTACCCGCGCGACTTAATTGCGAGTGATGTGGAGTCAGGTTGACTTGGAAGGTGCCCGCGAGATACTTACGAGGCGTGGCCGGGTATTCTTAGCCCTTGTCGCGAGTCCTCGAGACGGGGCGACGGGGTCACATCGATCATGGGTCTCTGTTCGTTACCGCGCGTTCCTAATCCACTATGATTTGGATATTTGATCTGAGGGGCCTCTGGCCTGATAGCACTAACCATCACGTGTGCATATTATGGACGTTCTGCATCGTATGCATCAGCCGAAGCTTAATAGACGTCATGCGACTGAGCGGCGCGCGCCGGGTTGGACTGGAACACCTCGCATTGTATAAGGGAGGCTAGGTCTGCTCACCGGCCGCCCACACAACATGCAGGAGTTCCCAGGGCGATGGCCCAAGACCCCTAGGGGCATAGGTTTAGTCCGGCGTGCTGACCTCTCTATTAAGCCTAGGTCGGGTTGTGGCGTATCGTTTGGCCGAGGTCGGGCATGACCCAGGAAAGTGTGTCCGGCCAGAGTTAATCGAGCATGGTGGGTAAGTTGGTGCACCCCTGCAGGGAAGAAAACATCTATCGATAGCCTGTCCTACGGTAATGGACACTCGGAGTTGTATCCCGATCGATACAACTAGAACTGTATCCTTGAGGTGATAACTGGATAGTATGGCTATGGGATTGCTTTCTCGCAGGGAGTCGAGAAAGGATCTCTGGGTGAGGATGATGACACTACAACTACTTTACATTATGCTAATATGCACTCTTCTAATGCTGCAAAACCTCTGAAGATGCTAGTCGTCGATGGGACTAGGCCTTTTCTCTATCTTGGCATTTCTGCAGCCCAATCCACATATACAACCCTTCCTTTGATAATGTTGCATATATAGTGTAGCTCCTTGCTTACTGAGTACTTTGGATGAGTACTCATAGTTGCTTTGCTTTCTTTTCCCCTTTTTCCTTTCTTTTTGGATGTCGCAACCAGATGATGGATTCTAGGAGCCAGACGACAACACTGGTGACTACTACTACATCGAGGGTGCCTACTACTACGTGACGACCGCTGACGACCTGAAGTAGTTAGGAGGCTCCCAGGCAGGAGGCCTTGCCTTTTCGATCGTTGTTGCTTTTGTGCTAGCCTTCTTAAGGCAGACTTATCTAACTTATGTATGTACTCAGATATTGTTGCTTTCGCTGACTCTTGTGTATTTGAGCTTATGTATTTGAGCCCTCGAGGCCCCTGGCTTGTAATATAAAGCTTGTATTATTTTAATTTGTGTCTAGAGTTGTGTTGTGATATCTTCCGTGAGTCCCTGATCTTGATTGTACACATTTGCGTGTATGATTAGTGTACGATTGAATCGGGGGCGTCACACGTGCCAACATATTCCCTTTTAATTTTTTTTCCATACTATAATTCCAGGCTAGATCAAGGGACTTATAATAACTATCCAAAAATTCCATAGTATCATCAACCGGTGGCACTTCCTTGCCATGCACAACATCATTGTGAAGTTGCCAAATTCTCCATATAAGTAGAATGACCATATCACAAACCTTATTATCACACGCCACAAGTACATGCATTAGCCACTCTTTACCATAACTCTCGCATCCTTTGCCACACAAGTCGTGCTTGAGGGCATGCAACTAGGGCATGGTAAGAACCTTCCCTCTCTCTGCCGCACACCCGACAACAATCAGTAGTACCAAATGTGTCGGTATAACTTGTTTTGATCAGTGGCAAAGGCACCTGACGCGGCCTTCCAAGCCGCGATACACATTTTAAGAGGAACTTTAGCCTTCCAAACATAATTCTATATGGATCGGTCTCCCTCTGGACACATACTTGAAGCCCCTCCTGCAAATGAATTGTCATGTTCTTTAGTAGCAAGTTTGTAGGCGCTCTTAACAGTAAACTGTCCAGACTTTTTCGTAAACCAGGCAATAAAATCTTCCTGGCTTGTTGGTAATGTACGTATTCTCAGAATTTGCTGCACATTTACATCCCAAAAATGTTGTTGGGGATGCTCCATGTTGAACAGAAAGTCCGAAATATGATTAAAGTGACAATTCCTTTTCGGAGTAATTGGTCTAAGATCATTACCTCTTGGAATCCTAGGATCACGTCATATACGCACCATAGACCCATTACCGATTCTCCAAATAAAACCTTTTTTCACTAGTTGAAGGCCATATTCAATACCTTTCCAAACAACCAAAGAATTACCTGAAAATACCGTGTCTAGAAGATTCTCATTCGGGTAATATTTCACTCAAAGCAGATGAGCATACAAACTATCCGGAGTTTCAATTAATCGCCAAGCCTGTTTAGCTAACAAGGCTTGATTAAAAGCCCGCATATCTTTAAACCCCGTACCATCCTTAGACTTTGGAAGACGCATTTTATCCCAACTTAGCCAAGCTATTTTTCTCTTTCCTTTTTCAATTCCCCATTAATACTGCCTCATCAAACACTCTTCCATTATTTTTTTGTAGTTTTATAATCGTGCACTCCATTTCATAATTCTATTTTGAACCAAAATCACAACAAGAATTATGGAGCCAAACAAATTGGATACAAGAGAACATGACACTCTATTTTTACGTGTTTTCATTCCTTCATTTTGAGAATTCAATTCAAAGAGGTCCTAAAATGTTTCTCGAAGTCCAGACTCTTTCTTCCGGGCGGGACGCACCAGCCAGAAACTTCCGTCTCGCCGAACCTTTTTCCTACGGGAGTTTGCCAAACTTGTCGTCCTGGGCCCACCACTTTCTTTGCGTGGGACCCACTGTCATTTACCTAGTCCAATATGAGTAGTAGCGAGGTACCCCTAAAAAAAAAGAGTGGCGAGGAGGGAGACCAGTCCACGAACGCCCTAGTCAACACGGAGCCCGCAATGGTCAACGGACGCGTCTCCATCGCCCCGAAACCCAAACCCTCGAGTCCACCAGTCCAAGTCCACCTCAGCCTAATCCCCCAGATCCACCCCCCCTGGATCGCATCCCAGCCGTCTGTCCAACACTAACCCCTCTCCCGGAAGCTAAAACCCAGCGCAACAAATCAAATTTAACCCAGGTCGCGCACAAATCCGCCGCGCACGCACACAACCTCCATCTCTTCTCCCCTCCTCTCCCTCCCGCAGAACCCTAGCTCACCACAAGCCTCTTCGTCGGCGATGGCGGCGGCGGAGAACGCCGGGGACGTGGCGGCGGGGGAGAGCCGCAAGCTGTTCGTGGGTGGCATCCCGTCCTCAGCGCAGGAGACGGAGCTGCGGGGCCACTTTGCCCGCTTCGGTGCGGTGCGCTCAATCGTCGTGATGCGGGACAAGGAGTCGGGCCACGGCCGCGGGTTCGGGTTCGTCGAGTTCGAGGACGAAGAAGCGGCCGCCAAGGCGCTCGGCGATGGGGAGAGGCCCAAGCACTTCATCTGCGGCCGACTGGTGAGTTCCCTCGATCTCCTTCTTCTTGAGCGTGCAAGACAAAGGTTGGAAGTTGATTTTAGTTTGTGGATACTCACTAGTATTTACGAACTTGGGTAGGCCATTATTTGATCTGGTAACGCGTGCTCTCATGGCTGGGCAAATTGATTGATTATTACTTGTACTGTCGCGGGCTCACCTTGTTAAACTGCCGTGCAATGTAGGAGTGCGACATTTTTTTTTGCAATATCTGAATTGGTCCCTAGAGATTTTTTGTACTAGGGTGGCGATAGTCATTAGTTACTCAGTTTTGTGTTTTTTTTCGTGCAGGTGGACGTTAAGAGGGCGCGTGCTCGACCTCCGCGGAACTTGGGCGAGCAACCTGTGCATCAGCATCAGCATCAGCTGGAACAGGGTCCGGTTCAGGGTCACCAAGAAGCTGGGGACAGTACCGAGGCCAGTAGTGACAGTATGAGCTATGCTTCAAAGAAGGTATTCATTGGTGGTTTGCGTGACAACATCACAGAGGAGGAGTTCAGAGCTTACTTTGAGGCGTTTGGCACTGTAACAGATGTTGTTGTGATATACGACAGCCTGACAAGCAGGTCAAGGGGTTTTGGTTTTGTCACCTTTGATTCCGAGGAAGCTGTGAGAAAGGTGATGGGGCAAAGCTTTCATGACTTGAAAGGGACAAGGGTGGAAGCAAAGATCGCTATCCCCAAGGATGCTCAGTATTACCGTAATGGCCGAGGTCGTGGCTCAAGAACCTTTGGCGGAAGGGGTCCTGTTGGCTTTGATGATTCGACATACCAACCGTACAATAACCGACATGGTTTCTACAATGGCTATATGCCACAACCTGTTCCCACACATCCCTACTATCATGGCCTCTATTTTGGTATGGGAGGCAATCCCTATGCAAATGCATATCCAAACCATGCAGTCATGGCAAATGTTCCAAACATGGTGGCAAGGCGTCCAGTATATAGCCCATATCCCCCAATGTATCCTGGCTATGGTTTTGCATACAGAAGTGGTTATGCGGGTGCTGCGCCTTCTGTTCAGTATGGCGTTAATGGTGGCAGAGATTACATGAATGACCAAGACTCTATGGATGTACAAGAACTTGACAGCACTGCTACCATTGCTACAAAGTTTGAATACATGAAGCTAGGTTCACAATGACGTTCTGGTAAGTTACTTGTATTATTATTAGCCAGCCTGGTTTTAATCTTTACTCTTAACTCTGATGCAGCACATTACATGTATTCTTGTTATGTGGAACTGCAGCAGTTACTCATTGATTTGGTTAGTGTCGTTTATAACTTAGGGCCAGTTCTTTTGGCAACTTGAAAAATAAGCCGCCTCCTCCCCAGCTTTTTCGATAAGCCAACTCTCTTATTCATTGGGGCTTCTAAACTAGTTATGTGATAACTAATTTAGAAGTCTCAACAAATTTAGAGGGCGGCTTTTTTTAAGCTGGAGAGAGGCAACTTATTTTTTAAGCCGCCCAAAAGAACTGGCCTTTAGTGTGAGATCTTTGAATCTGTATAGGCTATCATGTTTATTCATTATTTTTTTGTAAAACGAATCTGGGAACACATAATAATAATCCAAATTATGTAGGGAGCTGTTAAATGTAGTCATTTTCCAATGAATAGTGCTGGTTAGTTATTCAATTTGAATAATGGGTAGTTACTAGTTAATATAACTACTTGAATGTTTGAAAAACCTGCACTGATCAATTATGATGTTTTAGTCTATCTCATGAAAAATTCTCAATCCAAGTTACTCCCTCCATTCCTAGAGACAAGGCGGGAAACTTTTCTCCTAGCATTCTTACTAAGCAGGCCACACTTATATTTTTTCAACTAATCCGTCTAATATACCTCTTCACGCTACACTCTACTCCTCAAAGATGCGCTGGGCTGCTGGCCTTAAGTGCATTGTTAAGTGCTCACCTTCTCTTGCTGTTACTAATGGTCAGTGCCAACCTGTGTAGAGCTAGCTGCCTCTGATTGGTCATGCATGGGCTGAGCAATAAAACTTGCTCAGAATGGCTAATGAATGCAGCCTGCAAGCACGGCTAGCAAGAATATTGATGTTCGTGGTGTCTTAATAACTAATAACTGCTTAGAGTGTGATCTACCAGGGGCAAAAGGGTCCAAAACTTTTAAACGCGTAGCTGTCTTGACTTTGCAGAAAAAGTTTCACTCCTTTCTAGGAATGGAGTGAGTATTTGATATGTTTCCTTTTAATTGTTTATTTATCCTCGTCTACTTATTTGGTATATCATTGTAAGTAAAAACAGGCATCCATAAAAATAAATTTAGGCACTACTCCCTCCGTCTCTTAAAAGAAGGCCTATAAATTTTTTCTGAAGTCAATTGGTGCAAATTTTGAACAAGTTTGTAGGAAAAACTATCCAGAACTGTGATATCAAATTGATGCCATTAGGTACATAACGAAGCATATTTTCATATTATATCTATTTAGTATTGTAAGTGTCGATAGTTTTCCCTATAAACTTGGTCAAGCTATGCACTGTTTGACTTTTGAAAATTATAGGCCCTCTTGTGAGACGGAGGGAGTACTATTTATTGCATTTCATGCTCTTTATTTGAATTATCTAATAATCATTGCATGTAAAATGCAGCATAAATGTATGATTTTAGAGATTGCTTTGCATAAAGGCATATGATAAAATCAACCATTTTGTAATCATTTTTTATCTATACTCCCTCCGTACCAAAATACTTGTCATGGTTTTAGTTCAAATTTGAACTAAAACCACGACAAGTATATTGGAATGAAGGGAGTACATTGGATTTGT